GAACGGAGGCTTTGCGCAAACCATGCTATCAACCACGCAATCCAAACCATTATGGTGATATTTTAGGAGTGCTTGCGAACTGGGAGATTTATCAATATTCAATGAGAGGCTATAATTATGGCCAGTACCGTATAAGCTTGCGCGCGAACCACATATGACAAAGCGCTCAGTGTATGAAGATACCTACAATATAATTAGTTTACTTGGTATAATGAAGTTTATATAGCGTCGAAAATCACGACCAAACTAATTCAAATGCGCTTAGACTAATTTTTTATTAGAATAAGTAAAATAAGTGATAAAGTTTCTAAATTTGTCTTTAAATGTAAACTGTTTTGAATACCTGATATTGTAAAGGCAAAATTAATTATGAATGATTGTCTCACTATTGAAAAAATGAATAAGGACGATAATGGACTTGTTAATTTATTTTCGTTAACATTAGCGAATGCTGGATTTGGATGCGGCCTGTTGAGGAGCATTTATTGAAGTCAGTAATGAGATGAACTTAGCGAAGTATGTAGGTGGACCCAGCTTTATATACGGTGAGCTTGCCAGTCTAGCGAAGGTTTATATCAAGGTGAAGGGGACAATCACCTTGACATATTCCGATAATGTTGGACAACCAGTGCGTAGAACGGTCAAGATATTAGAAACCAGTTTTTCTGGAATGGGCCATTCGAAATCTGTTTCGAGATATTTTCAAAAAATACTTGACTTTTCTCTATTTTCCTTAATTTTTCACATTTTGATCTATTCACATATGTTCTGCTGAGAATGTGCTCGAGAAAAAAATTTATTGCCTTTTTTTTCTGCTTTTGACGAAGCTCGTTTATTAACGACAAACGAAGACATCTCTCGGAGTTTTAAATAAAGGTTTGGCTACGTGAACCAGCGAGTCAGATTTCCTCACATCTCTCTTTGATCTAGAGTTATGAAGGTAAGATGGCCGCTTTTCTATTCTTCTATTTATTTGTTTTCCATCTAATTAGCTTACACCGACTACG